GCAGAATCAATGAAACAGAATAAGGTTTTTGTAAAGTTATTTTTCTATGACCGTCTCCTATCTACATTCCTTCCGATCGATACCCTGTCTAATTTAAATAGTGTTTCGATGAGCTGAGCCGAAGTTCAAATCCCTACCGGTGCCTTAGACTAAAGTGGAATCCGTCAGGCGGGAGTTGGCATTCAACCGCCTCATAAGTCCTTTGAGTGCCATCTGCACTGCCCACTATCGTACGCATAAGTCCTTCCTTTGGTTTGGAGTGTCATCGGCACTCGCCCTCTTTCGTCCGGTGAAGCTGTAAAGACCAGTTCCGGCCGAAAGCATTAGAATAGTTGGTCAAAAAACTCCTATCTTACTTTTCTTAACTGTCTCATTGTTGAAATTGTAAATGACTAAGTAACGATTTGTATGGCCTATAGTCCATGGAGATGACAGTACATTAATTATCTAGTATTACAATTGAGCTAATTGATTAATTGTCCAAGCTATTGTATAAAACGATGTCATTATATCGTGTAACCTACTTACGATTTGTACTACTGCGCGTTTACACAAATAAATGAATTGTGGTAGAGCCTTTTGCTCCGTGAATAGGTCCTGCTTGTAGGGACTTTATTTGGGTTACGGCCATTCATTAAATTTTATTTTATATATAATAATAAATAGAATAGAATAGAAAATAATTTATTCAAATAAACTTAATTTAAGCACTTTTGAATAGTCATAACATTTTTTTTATCCACCGCTTGTTAGTTCGCTCGCTCGTTATTGAACATTAACATTAATATATATTGTAAGAATAACTGTTATTTTTATGTAACTATTTTTTACTCTTCTTTTAACTGGTTTAAAAGAAGGTAATACTCACCTATATACGCCTTAGCCAAGTGTGGGAGAGGTTGTGCTATGTGAAGATGTTATTATTGCGGAAATCAGAATTTTTCTAGTTATGCGACAAGTATTTAGTATTGTGGCTTTTTGTAAGAGATATGATTTATTAGGACCATAGGCGGATCGTGAATTTGTCGGGCTCTGGGTTAAATCTACTTAGGGGCCTACCTAATTACCTATACCTTACTCAACTAACAAAATACACAGACCAAAAACAAGCGACCAGAAATTCCCCGTTCCTTTCGATAGACGCGCACTTGATTGATCTCAATCAACCTTATAATAGGTTTTTTAACATTCTATATATTTTTTTATATACTAAATATCGTTTCAATGGGGACTGGGGTCAAATTCAAAATTCAAATTCAAATTCAAAATATCTTTATTCATGTAGGTCTATTACAGACTCTTATGACCGTCATCCTTCTTCTCCTTTATATCCTTTTATATATCCTCGGGGCCCTGGGCTGCAGCCCAAAAAGCCCTTAGGTAGGTCCACCCCTGATTAGGACGAATATTTAGAATTTGCAGATTTTTTTAAGTTATTATTATTATTATCTTATCTGCTTATACTATAAAAAAATTGTATCTACAAACGAGGTAAAAATGCAAAAGCACTTTCACTGACCTCCGACACTGAACACTAAACAGCTTTTTCTATTGTGTGAAGAAAAATGAGCTGCAATTACTCAAACTTGTGGGAACATTTAAGGTTAATAATCGGCTTTCACTAGTTTATTACCACAAAACGGATCCATTGCACAGCGTAATATCGTTTACTGTCCGTACTAATATTATAAATATGAAACTGTGTATTTCTGTCTGTCTATTTACCTTTACACGACTTTTTAAAAATACTAAGTGTGGGGAAAGGAGATTATTAGAAATGTGAAGTAATAACCCCATTGCTAGCAATGTACCATGTCACGTTGACCTCCACGCGGTTCCCCGTGGAAACCATCGCGATAAATTCCTGGTGAATTGGTCACGATGGGCTAACTGATCTGATGCACACCTTATCATCCTCCACTGGTGCCAGCGTAAACCGTTAGGCGGTGCATCATCCATTATGATCCATAAGCTAAACCACTAGACAGCCTCGGTGGTCTAGTGGTTTAACATCGTTTTACTAACCGATGGTCGCGGGTTCGATTCCTCGCACGGTACAAACATTAATTTGTATTCATGACCATGATTGTTTATATCGGTCTGGATGTTTTCTATGTATAATATGTATGTATTTGTGAAAAAATATATATCTATGTATTTGTATCAGTTATCTAGTACCCATAACACAAGCTCTGCTTAACTTGGGAATTTCCTGAGATATTATTATTATAAAAAAATACCAAAACTGGGGTAAGGGGCTTGTTAGTAATGGAGACAAACCTTATTTTAACCGATCCGACAACCCCGGACAGATTGTATTGGCGACGCGAAAGCAGAGACAAATCTACATAAAGTGAGATAGTGTAAAGAAGAATAAATAAATAGCACAAAATAGCTTATAAAGCAAGCTGCTTATCGGCTGTAGTAGGTGAGACAAGTTGAAGAGGAGAGGTTGAAGAAGAGGTTGTTAATAAAACCCCATTTTAATTGATCCGACAAACCAGGACAGTATGTCCTAGTGCTGCAATACGAGAGTCGAACCCACATAAGGTGGAATAGTGCAAAGAAGAATAAATAAATAGCACAAAATAGCTTACAAAGCAAGCTGCTTGGCGCCTGTATTAGGTGAGACTAAGTTACCCACGCGGACGTCTCTATATAAAGTATATACTACGGTCCACTGCTTTCGTAGCCCTTTTTGTTATTATACCTTTGTAACTATTGATAGTAAACGCATTTTCCGTCTTGGGATCGAACCCGCAATCATAGGGTGTTAACCTTATGTCAACGCCGCGAAACCACCGAGGCGTTCATGCATGAGGCCCTACTACTTGATTTCTATAAAGACGGTTTAATATAATTTGAAGCTTATACCAAGAATGTTTAGAATTCCAATTTCGCCATTATTAGGAAATGTTTTGACAATTATTATGAAACTAGATTCGCCCCGGCTTCGCATGTATTATATATATATATATATATATATATATATATATAAACCTTCCTCTAGAATCACTATCTATTAAAAAAACCGCTTCCAAATCCGTTGCGTAGTTTTAAATATTTAAGCATACATCGCTAGGACAGACAGCTGCAACGACTTTATTTTATACTATGTAATGATGTATTATTTTATCTAAAACATTTTAAAATAATATTTGGATGTCAGTACGCTATATACTTTCATATGCATTTAGTTAAAGTATGTTAATTTAATATTACAAACTGATACTTTAATTTTATTAATTTGCATAGATTTTCATAACTCTTATTAATACCAGATGGGAAGTTAGCCGTCAAACTTATTTATCCAAGTAATAAATATAGTATATAAAACATAAAAAGAAAACTTCCAGTGGGTAAGGAATTACTGGTGACCCACTAAAAATCACCGAAAGTCACTTTTAGAACCGCTGCCTTAATGAACGAATGATTGAACGGTCCGGTCGTTCGGTCATCGCTCCCGCTCGCGTGCATGTGGTTTGTCAGAAGCTGTCAACAGATTGACTGCGGTTTTTGTTTTTAGCGTGGGAAGTTACGACACCGTGTAATGTTACAAACTTACATTACAGAGTTTGCTTTTTTTCATTCTGTTTATTCTTTAACGGAAAGGCAAAGGGAACTGCGTCCATACAGAGTTAGCATTTCTGACAGGTCGGGATTGAATGGGCGATGTAACTTTGAACTGACGTACAATTTAAGGCAAAATTTTAAATATCTTTTATTTGCCTTGTTAACGTGTGATAATATTAAAAAATTAATAATGATTCCAACTTACAATAAAAGTATTAATTTTGGGTTATTGTAAAAAGCAACAGTTTTCGGTTCAAACATCAAACTGCGCTGTTTCAAACTTATATAAACTGTTTGTTTTTGCAAGATATGACCAAATAACCTTGAAACAATGCAGTGTGGTTTGACTTTTAAAAACTATGTAGGTACGTACGTCAGTTCAAAGTTTTATCGCCCATTCGATTCTGACCTGTCAGAAACGCAAACTCTGAGCGGCCAGACTTTAATCCAGGCGTTGCATTACTAGTGGATTCTCGAAATGTTTTGTTAGCAGAAATGCTAGAAAACAAAACGTTTAATGCAATTTTTAGAAATAGATTGATTCAAGAGAATGGTTTACATGTATCTTATTTGAAAGTTTGTGAGTATGAATGGATGTTTGTTACTCTTTCACGCAAAAACTACTGAATGGATTCTAGTAATTATAGTTTTTATATCAGAATAACATATAGGCTATATTTCATGAGGGTGAAACCGTGGCTTCAGCTAGTAATACATGTACACAAGTGCGAAGCAGGGCTGGTAGCCAGAAATTAAGCGAACAATATTAGTACTTTACCTCTCGATATACATTTTAACTAAAAATATTGTAATATTGTAAATATACGTAATTTAATAATGTGCTAAAGTTTAGAACTTTATTTACTCAGGACAATTGGCACAGCGCCATCTAGACCCAAGCCAAAGCTTGTGTAATGGGAACTAAATAACTGATACAAATACATCGATATTTTTTCGTAAATACATACATATATTATACATAGAAAACACCCAGACAATCATACTCACGAATGTTTGCACCGTGCGAGGAATCGAACCCGTGACCATCAGAAGTAAGGCGGCGGGGTGAACCACTAGGCCACCGAGGTCGTCAAATATATGATAAATATTATAAGTTATGTACTAAATATACCTACATTGAAATCCCGCACAGATGTCAAACCTACACCTTTGCTCAGTCGGTTGACAGCTGTCCCGGATGTAGGTGGCAGATGATACTGGCATACCATATTGCTCCATCAATTTGAGACCTTATTATAAAACAGTAAGGTCCAATTAAGCAATTACTAAATAAATTAAAATCGGAGTTGGTAATTAAAAAAAAGTGCAGCTCCTACCTTTATTTATGTTCATAGTGATGTGCAATAAAATGAGATTAGTATCGATATTTTCGAATCAAGAAACTTACAGTTTCAATTTGTTAACAGGTCCAAAGTCGAGATGTCGATGGCGGATGTGACGTCAGCGCGAAGTTCACCAGCGCCCGAGGCGTGCCCGGAGTGCGATACTAGCGCCTCTGTCACTTCCGACTTGCATAAGGTTTGTTTGATTTTCTTCGGACTACTCTAATGCTGTTGGCCGTAGCTGGCCATTACAGCTTCACCGGACGATAGGGGGCGAGTGTAGATGGCACTCCAAACCAAAGGAATGACTTATGGAGCGGCTGAAGGCCAACTCCCGTCCCCTAACGGATACGACTTTAGTCTGAGGGCATCATTGGCTCGAGCCTCGGCTCAGGCCATCGTAATTTCGATCCCCGTTTGAATTGGACAAGAACAAAAAGGAGTATAAAGTTTTTTCACGTATTAATATACTCACCGAGTTTCTACCAACATGCTGCCCACCTTCATGAAGGAGGACTGCTGGCAGAAGGGTGTGGTGTATCGGCGCTACCGTGGCTGATTGTCGTCATCAGTGCCGTGACCACAGACAATTTATATCACATTATATTTTTATATTAAATTTAATATCTTTCATATGTATGTTAGTCTGTAAGGTATGTTTATATGGGCCATTGGGGGGAAGAGGATTGTAAGTAATGTGGACTGCTGATCTTATTGCTAGCAATGTACCCTGTCAGGTTGACCTGCACGCGGTTCCCCCTGGAAACCATCGTGATAAGTTCTAAGTGAAATTGTCACGATGAGCTAACTGACCTGACCTTATGCTCATCTTATCATCCTCCACTGGTGCCCCGCCAGCGTAAACCGTTAGCGCAGGCGGGTGCACCATTCCGTTATCATCCATAAAAAAATGGGCCATTAGAAGACTGAATTAAATAAATACATAATTAATGTGTATTATAATGTATATAATATAAAAAATAATTAAAAAATAATTAATGTATATAATATAAATATGTTTTAAATTATTTCAGTATCAAGTTGCGTGTACATGCAAGCCATCGTCAGCTCAGTACGCATGCGCAGACGATCCTGGACCACCTCCTCCGGCCAAGACCGACACCCCGCCAGCTTTACCACCGCGACCACCTACCAGCGTGCTAGCGGCCACCAACAGACGAAATAATGGTAAACATAATCTGTTAAATCATATTTATTGAGCAAAGCCATTCACCGCTTTACGTCCGATGGTCGCGGGTTCGATTCCTCGCACGGCACAAACATTTGTATTCATGAGTATGATTGTTTGTGTCGGTCTGAGTGTTTTCTGTATAATATGTATGTATTTACGAAAAAAAAATCTATGTATTTATATCAGTTGTCTAATACCCATAACACAAGCTTTAGCTAGCTTAACTTGGGTCTAGATGGCGCTGTGTGAATTGTCCTGAGATTATTATTTATTTTTTTTCCCAAAAATTCTCATCTCCCCTCTTAAGGAGAGGAGATGGCAACATACCCCCGGCAGAAGCACAGTCGGCCGGGGTTCAGGGCCCCAGGGAGAGATTATTATTATTAAAGCCACTAAAAAAAAAACATGTATAACAATGTATATGGAAGAGCGGGATGTACTACCAAATTCATATTTAAATCTAAATTACGCTTAATATCTTAATATCTTTCCTAAAATCAGAATAATTCCTTCTTTAATGTTAAATAACAATTCTTTTACTTACGCATCTGAACACTCACTGTTGATTTGTATAGGTATATATTTAAAAGTATGTGTGTATATGTATATGTACGAGTATATTTTTATATTTATACATATTGAGTACATGTGTAAATATTTATTTAATATTATGTATTATATATAACTAGCTGACCCTGCAAACGTTGTTTTGCCATATACATATTATAAATTAAAATCGCATTAAAAAAATTGGGGTTCATGCTGGAAGGGTGAAAATTTAGGGTTGTATGTATTTTTCAATCCTAAATAATAATAAAAAGAAAATAAAATATTATGTCGAAAAAATAAAAAAAGATACATTTAGGGGTGGATATCCAAAATAGATAGATGCCGATTCTCAGACCTATTGAATATGGATATATAAATTTCATAAAAATCGATAAAGCCGTTTGGGAGGAGTATGGTAACTAACATTGTGACACGATAATTTTATATATATAAGATTATGGACTAGTTTATAATCATAGGTATTTTTATTTTTTTTACATTGTTATCTTAAGTGGTATACCTACTTTTTTTTAATGCACTGCCCACAGAGTACTTTTGACTGAGAGAAAATATCTCATGGTGTTAAGTTTGCCGTATGCATCTATATTTGTGTATTTGTGCATTAAAGGTTTAATAAATAAATAAACAGGGCCCGTCTGTTAGTTCCTTCAAGAAAATGATCTGAATGTCTACTTATATAGGTGTCTATGTCTAACATTAAATGAAAATCCCGTGCATGCACCACTATTGCTATCCACGTTAGATAGATTTGGAGATAGTACTATAACTAAACTACTAAATAATGACTTTAAGTAACCGTTTAGTATTACCTCCTTTATGTATACATCTATACATATAAATAAAATTGGAGTATCTGTTTGTAATGTTGAAATAACCGTTTTCTACAACATGCATATGAATATAAATACGGAATATATACCAAAATAATATTTTTTACAATTTATGTCTGTCTGTCTGCTTGTTCCGGCTAATCTCTGAAATGGCTAAACCGATTTTGACGGGGCTTTTTTAGCAGGTAGCTGATGTAATAAGGAGTAATTTAGGCTGCTTTTATTTTAAAAAAATAATTTTAAATTCCACGCGGAGGAAGTCGCGGGAACAGCTAGTTACAGATATATTTAAAGGTCTGATTCCTGCGACACAAGGATTGAGTTTAGTGCAGGGATAGCTGTTTAATATTTGGTCTATAACCATCGATGTAAAGTGTACAAATAAATAAATAAAATAAATATGGACTACTAAAACTATATATGTATATGTATTATTTTTCTGTATATATTTGTTATAATCTTTGTTTTTCTTTTTTTTCTCTTATTATCTCTGATCAACGCGACTGTTGACTGGTAGAGAATGCCATCAGGCATTAAGTCCGCCATGTATACATTTTTGTGTGCAAAAGAATAAATAAATAAATACATAAAACTTATAAATATACGTTTATAACAATAAAAGAATAGAATAGAATAGAATAACATTTATTTCATAAAATTTAACTTAAGTAACATTGCAAAAGCGATACCTGTCGATTTAAAATTATGGTTTCCGGGGAATATATAAAAGTTAACAATGAATGACGCTGTCGCCAACGCAACAGTGCAATGTATTTTACAAATAAATATAATGCAGGTGTTATTAAAAAAAATATTCTCACGTAACTGAAGTACAAAGAATGAGATGTTCGCATAAAGAAAAAAATATACCTGTATAGGGTATATTTTTTTTGTTGCGAATATCTCTGGTCGAATATATATGAATGGTTCTGACACAAGGTAAGCCTAATACCCATAGCGGACTCCATACATTTATATTTAAATTAAAAAAAAATCTCTCAAAAAAATCATTCATGTAATGAGACTTTACGAATGAGCGGTAGATTAAAAAAAAATAATATGATCTTATAGAAGACTAGTTGTTCCCGCGACTTTGTCCACGTGGTATTTAACTTTATTTTTCTTAAATAAAAGTAACCTAAGTTACTCTTTATTACATTAGGTACCTGCCAAAAGAGTCCCGTCAAAATCGGTTCAGATATAAGCCGGAACAAACAGACAGACAAAAATTGTACAAAATGTTATTTTGGTGTATGTATTTATATTCATGTGCATGTATTAAAAAACGGTTATTTCAATATTACAAACAGTCACTCCAAATTTATTTATATGTATAGATAATATTATCTGCACATAATTCCATATAAAATATAACACAACAATTATTAAAATGTTATGAAAATTGTTACAAATTAATTACATTTGTAACAATTTTCATAACATTTATACATATATCTATAGTTACAATATATTAATAATCTATGGTTGCTCTTATACAGACAGGTAGTTAAATTTCCGCGCCAAATTGTTATCATAAAGTCACAATCCGAAATCTTCACTTCCAGTTAACGAGAGTTTACGACCTTTTTACCTGCACCCCATAAAGTGTCCATTGCTTCTGCGCGGAGCAAGCCCATTGTTAAAACACATAACCTACTCTGTAACAGCTCTGAATTAATAATGTAACCCAATTCTATTGAAATAAAATATTATTATAGCCGACATATTTCAAGTTATTTAACAAGTGTACGGTGTGTGATTTGTTTAAATGAATGTGTTATACTCATGTATTGTTAAAATACAATTAGAAAATCGAGCAATAGGGGACAATTGTGTTAAATATTGCCAAGCATAAGGATATAGACAATGGAATTGATTTTATTTGTGCTGTGAATACAAAATGTACATAATGCCAGTGTATTTAATAGTGTAAACATCATTGTTGTTTTTCATAAAAGGGTCATCGGTCCCTACGTTTGCGTGGGTGGAAATATCGATTTTATCGAAATGGCGCGGATTTCAAAACTTCGTATCAATTGTATCTTTAGTGCATCTGTAAACATTATCGAATAATTTTATAATCTGTGAATTTTAAAAGAAATAAACTTTTTTAATTGTGTAAAAATGGCGCGAATTGGAACTATTGAATCCCGTGTGTATTTTCAATGTTAGAGCTTTTTTTTTAAAGTGCATGTGATGCAAGCGTGTGGTGTTATGCAAGTGTTACAATATCAGGTATCGGCACCTCAGTCGACAATTGCTGCTGAAGTGGCACAACACTATGTGCCGCCACCTCCTTATTTTGGTAATTAATCATAATCACAGTATATAATCAAGCTGAATGCCGCGAATAAAAAAAAATATAAACATATTTATTATACTCGGGCCCATTAGTTAATGAAAAATATTTTTGTATGAAATTATGCAACAGTTTTTATAATTTTATATACAGACATTTTAGAGGTTTTGTCTTCATTTGATATAACTTAGAACCACAGATAATATAATATTACAAACTTAAAACTTTCTCTTCTGTATATCTGTGCAAGTAGCTAATTTCTTGTAACAATATATTTACCGATGGTTTCATTGATGCAAATTATTAAATTATTGCAATCAAATTATTTATATTAACCGTTAAAAGTTACATACAAAACTGCTGAAATTAAGTTTATTTGATTAAGGATTTTCTATTCCATTCTATTTTCAATGTAATGTAAAACATAGACAACTCAACATACATATAATGTGATTGACTTTTGAAAATTGTTAATGCTATTCTAAAACTAAAATCTCTGAGCCCAGGCAGATGTTGCCTTGACCGCTCCTAGATGTAAAATGAGACAATGTCACTGTTCGTCGGCTGGGCTTTGTACAGTGCCATCTAGCGGCACTTGCGTTCTATAATAGTTGTATTATAGAGATATATTTTTAAACTGTGGTGGAAAACTACAAGCTTACGGCCCATCTGATGGTAAACGGTTACCGTAGCCTGTGTACGCCTGGAGTACGACACCAGGATTGACAGGTGCACGTTGCCGACCCTTAAGAAAACATAATATATCCTTCTTGTAAACCCCATGCCAGTCTTGAGAAAATCCTCGGCAGTTTATTCCACAATACAAGTGTACGCGGAAGCTCCTCTGAAACCGCCAAATCGCGGTTCGATCAGGATCCTCAGGATTTCAGAATCATCAGAATTTTTGGGTGTCACGACCCAAAAATTGCGACACATACTACATTTATATTTGATCAACAACCTAGATAATAAGATACGACGATACTTCCATACAGCTTTTCATCTCCTCTTTCAACGCTTTTTTCGCATTAAAAGAAGTCTTCCTTTCTCAGGGTCTAGACTATGTACCAAATTTCATTTAAGTCGCTTCACAAGTTTTGGCGCGAAAGCGAGACAGATAGATAGAGTTACTTTCATAATATTAGTAAGGATTAAGATATGATGTACGATAAGGACTAGCATACGAAAACGGACAAAAGTCCCTAATCTTCTTCTTCTTCTTAGCTCTGTCCCACTTTATGCGGGGTCGGCTCTCCTAATTTTTCGGCGCCAGGACAATCTGTCCTGGGTTGTCGGGTCGGGCAATTTTTCCGCAGTGACAACCTCGCTCATACTGATCCACCAGGTGGCTGGAGGACGTCCTCTGCCTTTTTTGCGTTCGGGTAGTCTTAAGGCTTTTTTGACCACGTAATCCTCGTCACTACGCATCACATGGCCATACCAACTGAGACGCCTTTCCGTAAGTTTCTCCGTTATTGGGGCCACTTTGAAATTACCGCGGATGTATTCATTTTGCACCCTATCTAGTCTCGTGACTCCACCAGACCACCGCAGCATTTTTGTACAACTGTACCCTTTATTGGCCTAATAAAAAATAAAAGAAAAATCGTCTATTACAGCTTCAGTGGGTTTCAACAACGTGACGTCATGCCGTCGCCACAAGTACGCGTGGTGGTGCGTGGGCTGTGGAGCGCTAGCGGCCGCGTTGGGTGGTCTGCTGGCTGCACAGCATATAGTGCTGAGGTTCTTCACAGCTTCTCCTCAACACTTGGAGACGGTGCCGGCAGCTGTACCTGCTGCTATGGTAATAAAAATATATAGCGATTTAATAATAATTAAACCTCAATATAACCACTGCACCCTTACCTTCATACTTTTCCAAAAAGGTTTCCAAATACTAAATTTTAAATTTTGGCTGCTTTAAAAAAAAATATTTTTGTTGTCCCTGTTTGGTGATTTTCACCCGCAAAGACGGGTCTATTGCCCCATCAAAGAGAGAATACAAGGAAGTGTATCTACGCCTGAAACACCAGGGGTGTCACGTGCGCGTTGCGGGCCCTTCAGACACCTTTATATCCCTTCTTGAAAAACCTTGTTTATGAGTTCATTTGTTACAGTTGGTGTTAACTGGGGTCTGCATCATGAGCTTGGCGAGACGAAGAAACAGATACAGCTATATGGTAAGAAAAGTATGTCTGTTTATCATCAAAATATTTATATGATACAACATCTATATGATACAATAATCTGATCCTGTATCATCGCCAGCAAAATTTTTATTTTCATTGTACAGTAGAAGATAAGATTAGTAATAAGATACGATGGGACTGGCATTATCATATTATCATAAAAGTCCCTAAATAAATGTAAGAATAAAAAAAAAATACATATACATACATTGTCATACATAGAAGTAATTGAAAATAGACCCTTAATATAAATATTTTATGGTCGAATTTCGATTTTATTGAGGAAATCTGGCAGGTGCTTTAGACCTGCAGTGCTGCGATCTACATAGTCCAGTCAGAGACAAGAATTGAAGGATATTCTTAGGAGCGATGGTTTCCTCTCCTCCTCCTCTTAGGATGTGTGGTGGCGTTATCTCTTCAGCTTGACCTGACTTTACACTGACTTTAAATCTATATTATGTAGAGACGTAAACTAATCGACAGAAATATTACTTGGAAGGGTGTCGAGTGTTGGCAGAAATATTACAAGTGTAAATGTTTATATATTTATGTTTCAGATCAAAGTGGTGGGAGCTTGCTGTCTCGTGTGCGCACTCACCTGCGTGCTGGTGACAATTACCACCACTGTTATTCACATGAATAAGTACGTATATATATCTACTGACTTTTAAATATAGGTAATGCTCAATTGGGATATATTTTTTGTGTACTTAACACTTGAAAGATCGCTTGCCCACTGGTGGGTCACTCTGCAACGAAAGTTTTACACGTTGGGACCGGGTATAATGTCTACCTCAAATGTCTAACTGAAAATATATTAAAAAAATAATATACGTATTTAACAATAAAAAAAATTCCGGTCCCTATGTGAGAAATAAGATTTTTTTATTTGTTAAGAGTAAAATTAGCTGCCATTATATGTACGCTCTTTCACGTAGGAATAGGCTATCACGCAGGAAAGAATGTCCATCACTATTCAAATGTGTTTATAAATAAATAAATAAATAACCCTGGACAATTAGTACAGCGTCGTCTATCGTCTACCGACTCACGGTAAGCAGAGTTTGTGTTATGGGAACTAAACATATGATATAAATACTAAATTATATATTTTTCGTAAATACATACATAATACACATAGAAAACAACCAGACTGATACAAACAATCATAATCATGAATACAAATGTTTGTATCGTTCGAAGAATCGAATCCGCGACCATCGGAAATAAAGCTGTGTGCTAAACCGCTAGACCATCGAGGCCGTCAGTGTAATAATATAGAATTTAATGTCCTTAAAGATCTATTGGCTTTATCTCAACGAAATTTATAATTACTAATTAATAATAATAATAGAGTAATTATTATAAATTTGTTACAGGCTTCAAACTTTAAAGTTATGTGAATACACGAAGTTAACTCGAACATGCACTTGTTTCTCCGCGCCAGCTGATGGTCAGCATGGGGGTGATGATGATGGTAAGAATCTGGATTCTATGTCTAAGCTTAAGCGGCTACATAGGTTTCTGAACACTGTCAACATAATAATTCAATATTCAACATTTTTTTATTGAAGATAATAGAATGGTGCACCCGCCTGTACTAACGGTTTACGCTGGTGAGGCTCCAGTGGAGGATGTTAGGATGAATATAAGGTCAGGCCAGTTAGCCCATCATAGCAAATTCACAAGGAATTTTTCATCGCAGTTTTCCTTTTATAAATGTCATCTTTAACACAATCCATCCATCTTTTTTTAATCAAGCCATCCATCTCCTTTTATAAATGTAATCTTTAACACAATCCATCCATCTTTTTTTTAATCAAGCCATCCATCTCCTTTTATAAATGTCATCTTTAACACAATCCATCCATCTTTTTTTTAATCAAGCCATCCATCTCCTTTTATAAATGTCATCTTTAACACAATCCATCCATCTTTTTTTTAATCAAGCCATCCATCTCCTTTTATAAATGTCATCTTTAACACAATCCATCCATCTTTTTTTTAATCAAGCCATCCATCTCCTTTTATAAATGTCATCTTTACACAATCCATCCATCTTTTTTTTAATCTATCCATTCATCTCCTTTTATAAATATCATCTTTCACACAAACCATCATATCCAATTAATTAATTTAAAAGAAAAACAATTCCATATACTTTACAGATATTATATTCTTTCCTTCAGGAGTTCGGTGCGTGTTTGAAGGCGTGAAAGATTGTGGTGTTGTACACGGAGCCCTCTACTGGTGCTTGAGAGGAGTGTTTGCCTTGTCAGTCACCGCTGTGTTGGTCTGCATCTTCAGTTGTATGCTGGCATATCAGCTACTTAGGTGAGTCAATCAATCAATCACTTTATTTGCTGCTTAAGTGAGTAAATAAATAAATCAGAACCCCAATCCATCAATCTATAAATCACTCTCTCAATCATGCTGAATATACTATAGGTATACAGGGGTAGAAAGTATGAGACTAGTTGTCACTCGATGACGCGATATCCGTGGTGGTGCTTCACGTATATAGGCGACGGTTACCACTTACCATCAGCTTGCCGTAGCAGTTACATTCAACAAAAACTCTTCTCTTAGAACCTCTCAAATATCACCATTTTTGAGGACAAAGTTTTGCTTATCCTGTAGTTTCACTGCTAAATACGGACAGCCTCGGAGGTCCAGTAGTGTAGCACACCGCTTTACCTCCGATGATCGCAGGTTCGATTCTTAAAATCTTACAAATCAAATTGCTTCGCTAAAGAGAACAGGCAGACGACTTTGTACAAAGTCTGTGGTATTAGATCTATACTAAAATACACTAGATGAAAATACTACTAATGAACAGACAGACAAACTTTATTCATTAAGTATACAATATAACAAGCATTGAACAACAAATTTGCAGTAATAATTAACTAGATAATGTTAAAAATCATAGATAATACAGTTAAGTTTTCACGTACATTAAATGCAATTTTTTGTTAAGCGACGACAAAGCTATTTGCTGTATATGAAGTCTATTTTCCAAAAGTTTTATACCATGTTTCAAGTCTGTCACTTCAGACTTCACACAGACGTAATCCATTATATCTGGTACTTCATACGCTTGTCTTATTTTCTTCACTTCTTCAAGTTTCTGATCCAAAATGTCAGCTTGTACCTGTATTCTATCTCTTTCTTTATCCAATTCAGCAGTCAATTTCTCTTTAGTTTTAATACTATTCATAATATTTGTCAAATACGTATTTTGCTCCATCATTGCTTTCTTATGAATGGCCAAATTCAAATTTGCATCTCCAGTCATCTTTTTTAATTCACCCAACTGTTGTAATTTCTTCTCGATAATCTCTATGCATTCGTTGTTCTCGATTTTAAGTTTATCAAAGTCAATCGCGCGGAGACTCTCGCTCAATTCCGCTTTTATTTTTATCTGTCCTTTCAATTTGCTGAATTGTGTATTCAATGTACTGGTCCTAAGTCTCAATTTGCCTATTTGACTGTCAGCTATTTTCATCCACTCCGTCATAAACCTTATCCATATTTCAGCTGGAATCCTTTGCGCTATTTTGTCCCAACCTTCAATTAAAACTTGCGCATTAAAAGACCCACTAGCCTTTTCTATATCGTTCACTCTCACACCTATTTCTTCTAGCTGCGCTTTCAACAGCGCATGTTGTTTAGAGGCCTTATATCTTGCTCTTTCTAAATTGCTTATAAGAATCTCCATTTCGGCTGACACGAGTTCGGATCGTTCTAACACGTTGATTCTTGGACCCGTTCCGAATATGACAGTGCCGCCTAATTTTCCCGAAGAATCGACACGTCTCGTAGAAACCCTCGATGGACTCGTTAGCATTCTCGATGGACTCATAAGCGATTCCAACACTCCGATCCTAGAAGTCTGCGACTTGACGAAACTCCCAACGGTTAATGAAGAATTACTCTGCAGTTTGTTGGCGTAGTCTAAAGCCTGTTGGATTCCATGCATCAACGCTGGTTCCAGCCTTATAATAGTCCTTTCGAATATTTCATTCTCCAATGTCAATATTTTGACTTGGTGTTTCAAATCGTTGACTTGTCGTATTAATTCTACATCAGTTAATTCATCAGCGTCATTAATAAAGTGACTCACAGATCTGGAATGCTGGCTGATGCTGCTTCTGTGTGCATGTGACTGCGATTGGGACATGATTGCTTGTGTATATCATCAAAATATAAAAAATAAACACTACAAAAAACGCCAAGACACTGAAAGTCAAATCGGCTAACACTAAACAAATAGTTTTTAAGTTGGCACTATTCTTACGACTACGATGTCTAAATTGAATCTATACGTTATTAGGAACAAAATATTTTTTCTATGAATCTGTATAACATGAATTTTTATTAGTATGAAGGTTTTATCAGCAATTGCAAGCAATCAATTTAAAGTAAACAATTTTCGTATGAAACTGTGCAAACTTTTCGGTTTTACAAGCAACATAGATTCAGTTTTTATAATTGTGTTATTTTTCTATCTGGTTTTTGTGAAAGAATATAACATATTAATAAAAACGTTTTTTTTTTCAACTTTTGAACAAAAATCCTACGTTCAAAAAAAGATGATACACAGGTTCATATAAAAAATATTTAGTACTACCTAAGTAACGCCCGATTACAAAACATTAGAGAATGTATACGTCAATTCACTGCGGGGAAATGAGGCTAGAGTATATTCTACAAAACTATTTAGATTATAACAAAATTTGATAGTCCTTATCTTTGTTTATTTAGAGTCGCAATTTCAATGCTTTCCAGTTTGATTTTATTATGTTGGTTTTCTTGTTACCTAGACAATATCCGTTGCTATGACAGCAGAGTGTGATAGTTTTTCTAATAAAGGCCAGATAATGAGGTCGTGTATGTCTATACATCTATACTAATATTATATCCAGGGTCGGTCTGTCTCTTTGTTATATTTTCACAAATAAACGGCTGAACAGATGTTAACGAAATTTGGTGTGAAGATAGATAGTATTACGAGGACGGAGATAGTACATCTTTTATTTTAAAAAGTAGACGAATCACGGGTAGTAGTCATTCAAAGATAAATCTCAGTTTGGTTGCTGAACAGTCAACACTGGGCTTCCAAGCTAACTCGAGCTCTATTCAATGCCTGATGATGCTCATAAATACATGAAAGCTATAAATAAATATACATTTATGGATGATAATAGAATGATGCACACGCCTGCACTCACGGTTTACGCTTGCAGGGCACCAGTGGAGGATGACAAGATGAGCATGAGGTCAGGTTAGTTAGCTCATCGTGACAAATTCATCAATAATTTATCACGATGGTTTCCAGGGAGTACCGCGTGCAGGTCAACCTGACATGGTACATAGCGAGCAATAAGATCATCAGTCCACATTACTAACAATCTCATTTCCCCCAATCCAACCAAAAACCGAATAATCATCATAAAATCAACCGATCATCATAAAATTTTGTACACATGTTCTTGGAAGATTAGAATAAACATAATTTTTATTAAAAAACAAAAAATAAAATATCAACATTTTACTACTTCAGCGCCATCTAGGGGTCTATATTGAAGTTATAAATCAGCGCCATCTAGCAACCAGTAGAAGTAGAAGTTACTTAATGGATTCAATGCAAGCGAAGCAGCGGGTAAAAGCTATATTTATGTTGCAGTCATGAACGTAAGAAGATGTATTGGGAGCAGTTGGAACTGAGATGCAGATCATTGTACCGTCCACCAGCGGGACAGAACGCTCAACCATCCGGACGCCCGGTGCAGGTAACAACTGTTTTTTTTATTTACTCCTTTTTATACCCAACTAGCGATATACGCCTCAGATGTATTTTTTGTAATTTTTTTGATAATAACGTAACTTTCAGTAATTGAAAGAATTTGAAATCAGAATAACAGGCAAGAATTTAATTTGTTAATAAGGCTTTCTGATGCCCCGTCCAATTCAAACGGGAATCGAAATTACGGACTGAGCCGAGGGTCGAACCTCTAGTAGTGCCCTCAGACTAAAGTCGTATCATCGTATCGTTGGTCTCTTCAGCCGCTCCATGAGTCCTTCCTTTGGTTTGTAGTGCCATCTTCACTCGCCTCTTAACATCCGGTCCGGATGCAGCCAACAGCATTAGAGTAGTTCGCAAAAAATATTGAGAGATTTTTTTAAATCTATTTGGAGTTTAAGAGTTCGGCCTCGATGGCCTAGCGGTTTACCACACCGGTTCACTTCTAATGGTCGCGGGTGCGATGCGAGAGTGAACGTCTGGCCAAAATATAAGTACTCTTTATTTTATTAATCTTATAAACGCGAAAGTTTGTGTGTATGGATGGAGTTTCATGCAAAAACGGAACTGTTTGTTTGATGAAACTTTACAGTAATATAGTTTTTACATCATAATAATATATAGGCTATAAATTACACGCGGGTCAAACTGCGGGCACAGCTAGTATACAATAATAGAGTTTCAAGTCAATAGACGAAATATTAAAGTAGATATCAATAAATCTGATTATAACTGAAGACTGATGGTGGAGAGAAAAAAATATTGTTTGTTATTAACTTTCAGACTAACTGCGGTTGTTGTGCACAGTGCCATCCCACACAGCCGGCTTGGGACATCAGCTTGCAGCACAGGTTCTGGGCACCAGGTTCGTGATGTTTACAATAATATAATAGTTTTAATGACTGTCATTTGAGTCGCTGTTTTGTTTATTTACGTTGTCTTCAATGTGGGTAGGTTGACTTTAAAATTGTTTCTCACTTTTATTATTACTGATATGCAACAGCTAACATTGTTAATTATAAGTCTAAATATCTTTTTTATGGATGATAATGGAATGGTGCACCCGCCTGCGCTAACGGTTTACGCTGGCGGGGCACCAGTGGAGGATGATAAGATGAGCATGAGGTCAGGTCAGTTAGCTCATCAGTTCACCAGTTAGCTCTCAGTTGAAGTTTATATATGTATACATATTTATCTTTTTATTTTATTTATTCTAGTTTATATAATGTATTGTGTAATGTATAATATATAAAAATTCATTTTTAATCATTCAAACATCCCTGAAATCCTCAAGGTTTCAATAATAGGTTACAGCCAAAGATAGAGAAGGAGATGTAGGTACACCTGCTATGTTTTGAAAGCTTTAATCATTAGTTTTTTTTGTTTCACAGGTAGGATAGGCAACCTGTATTCTCCTAATCCTGGCACCGGCAGGAAGACGTCTGCTTGGAGCTGGTTTCCGTGGCCGAGGAATACCAGTCAAAAGTGAGTATCGTCTTAAAGAAATATAATAATCAAATAACAAGTGTTTACTTGTGAACTTGTCTGTTTTTTTTTGGAAAAAAAGAGTCTATGTTCATTATAATATTATTTATAATAATGATATATATATATTATTAATAATATGATTAATATCCTTGGACAATTAATACAGCGCCAGATAGACTCAGGTTAAGCTGAACTTGTGTTATGGGTATTAGACATCTGATATAAATGCATCGATACTTGATCGATTTTGGTAAATACATACAAAACACTAAAGACTAATAAAAACAATCATACTTATGAATACTAATGTTTGTATAGTGCGAGGAATCGAATCCTCAACAGAAGTAACGCGGTGTACAAAATCGCTAAACCAACAAGGTTATTTTTGTACTACGACCATTTATCATAAGATGGGCCGTAAGCTTGTTTGCCAACGAAATAAGCTTCCGGCCCATCTGATGGTAAATGGTTACCGTAGCATATGGACGCCTGAAACACCAAGGATGTCACGTGCGCGTTAGAGTCCCTTAAGGAACCTGAATATACCCTTCTTGAAAATTCCCATGTTGTAGTCTCTAGCAAAACCTCGGCAGGTAGTTCATTCCACAATGTAAGTGTACGCTGGAGGAAGCTCCTCTGAAACCGCACTGTCCGAGACCACTTGGGAATGAATTCCCTGTCGATGGTGTGTGGTGCGAAATCGTTTGATCATTATAATATTAATATAGATATATATTTCAGTTCTCGTTGCCGTATGGGTGCCGTACCTCAATCGGGCGATAGTGCGTACGGTTTCTGTGACAACGATACCACACCCACCACAAATCCTCAACCGGCGTACGAAGATCGCTCCTACAATTTCAGCCAGTTCCGCAACCAACCGGCGAATTTCAACCAAACACAATCGGCCTTCAACCAAACTCAGTCTTTCAATCAAACTCAGGGGAATTTCGCACAAACTCCGGCGGGATTTGCTCAGAGTCAAGCCAGCTTCGCTCAGTTCGGACAGGAAGGGTTTGGGGAGACAAGTGGAAGTTTTGATGCTCAAACTGGAGTCTGGGGTCCGCCGCCGCCGTACAGTCCTCAAGGGAGAAGTGGTAGCAGGTACGTCATGATGTTCTAGTACTTTTAACTTCTAACATATAACATTCTCGTGTCGTTCTTGAAACAAAACTTTTCTCTCAAAAGATTTTTTTTATATGTGTTCAGAAGTTTCAAAAACCTTCTTTTGCGCTCTCTTTCTGTATAATTTTAGTTCACTTTTATTTATTTTGATAATATTTTCATTTGAATTATATGATAATTTACGCATCTGTTGAGTGATCATTCTGTAATTTTTAAAAAGGTTGGGCAACATTAAAATGTTATCAAATTAAAAAATCATTTATTCATGTAGGTCATTTTAGCCGATTATGAACGTCAAGTTTTACATTATAATTTTTTTCCCTACCGTCCAGTTCATCCTATCAGTCATTCATTTCATTCATTCAATATCTCTGAATTTGATATTCGAATCAATTTTGTAAAAAATCAAAGAAGTTATTATTTCTGTTACAGTTTACAGTATAATATTAAATCTATTATTTTGTTTGCAGACACCATTTGCATCAAGATCCAGCGGCGACCACGCTCCTCCATCACCACCATATAGACGTCCACCGCAACTCAATGCCCATACACGACCATACAAACCTACCAATACAGCCTCATGCGTGCGCTCGCAACTCATACATAGTCCACCACGCACCCCAAAACATGGAGATGAGCCGGTTGAATCCAGAAATCAGTCGATTGAATACAGAAATGAGTCGGTTGAATTCAGAAATAAGCCGTTTGAATCCAGAAATGAGCCGTTTGAATCCGGAATTGAGTCATTTAGCTCAAATGTATCCTACAGACGTGAATGATATGGCTCGTATGCAAGAAATGGGACATTTGGGTCCCGATGGGCGTTTTAACACGTTAAGAGGTCATTTGGTTCCGTATAGGGCTTGTCAGAGGTCCTTAGGCATGAGTGTTGGCAATCTACACAGGGACTGTAGACTAGATGACAATGTCACAATTGAGTGTTTACATCAAAAAAGTGGAAGCAAAGGTAAGAATTTTAATATTGTTTTTTATATATTCTTTATTGTTCTTTTAAATACAGTAGTAAATTTAATTATATACAAAGTGAGTGAGTGATATGTGATTATTCAAAAGCTCTTTGAATAAAAAACATTTTATTCCTTTACAATGTTACGTCTGTGAGAATCTCAACAACGTGCGTGGATGTAATCGTTGTAAATATTTATAAAACACCAAATTGTAAATTAAATCGTAATTATATATATTTATTAAAATGTCGATAAAATTAGCGATGGAACAAAAATATTGAAGAACATAAAAACAAATGACAATCGTAATATAGAGAACACGGCGTTGTATATTTGAATATTATTAAATAAATTATTGAAGAGGTTTTAATACCCATTTTTGTTAGAGTTTTCAACAACGCTAGTTAACATATATAATATAATATAATAACTATATAATATTCTAAATGATCAATTATACAGTTTCAGATCAAAGCACTGACTCGTGTCCTAAACAAGGCAAGGAGAACCTCGGCTTCCAGAATGACAAACACTCTCCTATAAGGTAAGCGAACGTATAATTGTGGGTGAGTGCGTGCGTGCATGCGTGAGTGCGTGAGTGCGTGAGTGCATGCGTGAGTGAGTGCGTGCGTGAGTGCATGCGTGAGTGAGTGCGTGCGTGCGTGCATGCGTGAGTGCGTGCGTGCGTGTGTGCATGCGTGAGTGAGTGCGTGCGTGTGTGCATGCGTTAGTGCGTGCGAGCGTGCCGTTTAAAGATCTATGTTTGCAAAGTTTGTTTTAAACATTATTATCATTTCCAGGTCCTCGATGCAAGACCGCAATGGTAATCAGAATGCGGAATCCGAAGTGTACTTCGCAGACGTATCCAGTTGCTGCAACGTCTCTGTCAAGGTAAAGTTTTTGTTTCACGTATTAATATAATGATGTTATAATTTGCCGACTTACACTTTGTATAAAGTCGTCTGCTTGTGTGCCTCAGCTTCACCTATTTCAGCCGTCAAGCAGCTTACTTTGGAAGCTGTATTACAGTTTAATGAATGACACACATACCTAGTACATTACTAGTTTAACTTAAAAATTGCTAACTTTAGAAAATGCACCCTAAAGGTTTGTCTTTAAAGTCTGATTTCTGAAATTTGAAAGTTTTGAGTTATTCAATCTATACATATAAATAAAATTGGGCTGTCTGATTGTAATATTGAAATAACCGTTTTTTACTATGATGATGGATATGAATATAAATACGGTACAATACACCAAAATAACATTTTTTACAATTCTTGTCTGGCTTCTGTCTGTTTGTTTTTTGGCAGGTAGCTGATGCAATAAGGAGTTACTTAGGCTACTTTTATTTTAGAAAAATAAAGTTAAATTCCACGCGGACGAAGTCGCGGGAACAGCTAGTTGTATATATTATATATGTTACGGCCTAATAATTCAGTTTGGAAATGTCCATGTCTGAAAATTCCAATATTGAAATCTACATTAAGTTTTAATATTGAAAATTTTTATTCTCTAGTAAACAACCAACAACAAACTAAGTAACAATTATTTTTCTTTTTCTGTGTATTGAAATTACAAACCTCAATATATCCTACGTAGTATTATCATATTGTTTTTATTTGGTTCCAGGCTGACTGCTGCATGAATTCCAATGTATCAGCATTAGTTGGTACCATAGAGAACCATCCAGAATCCACATCTGAATCTGATACGGGTTCGTTCACACTCACGCGACAGCAGCGCCCCCAACCGCAAGTGGGTTCGAAACGTCGCCCGCGACAAAACGACAAACACACAAAAAATCAACGACAAGAAATTAGCACTATCAGAATGGCCGAACAACAATTGTTAGAACAACTCAACACCTCAATAAGAATGAGTGACAGAATGAATGATTCAAGAATCAGTGATGGTATAAACGAGAGTCGCGTCAGTGATCGGAATGATTCCAGAGATCGACTGAACGATTCGAGAATAGAACGCATCAACGATTCCAGAATAAGCGATAGAATGAATGAAACGAGGCTGAGTGAGCGAATGAATAATTCCAGAGATCGTTTGAACGATTCGAAAATTGAAAGGTTGAATGAGTCCAGACTCGAAAGAATGAACGATTCCCGGATCAGCGATAGAATGAACGAGACGAGACTGCGGGAGCTAATGAATGATTCCAGAGATCGTTTGAACGAATCACGAATGGAGAGAATGAATGATTCTCGCATTAGTGATAGAATAAATGATTCTCGAGTCAGTGATCGCATGAATGATTCTAGAATCAGTGATAGAATTAACGATTCTCGAATCAGTGAGAGAATGAACGATTCTCGAATCAGTGAGAGAATGAACGATTCTCGAATCAGTGAGAGAATGAACGATTCTCGAATCAGTGAGAGAATGAACGATTCTCGCATTAGTGATAGAATGAATGAAACCAGAAGCGACCGATTGGAACGAATCGAAGATAGGAGGATGTCCGATCTGAATTCTAGCATAAGGGTTGAAGGGAGTCCGAAGATGCGGAATCACATGAGTCCATTACGCGTGCCAAGGTCAAGTCCAAAGAACTTGCCTAAAGAGCACCCCAGGCAGTCAAGTTCTGATTCTAACAAGCCTGAGTTCTTCGTGCCACCTCCGCCTACACATTCGCCCTTATCTCCTAACACAGAAGAGTCACTTTTGTCTGACGAGGATGTTAGAACACAGGATCAAATGTATTCTAACGATCCGGAAACTTCGAAATGCTTAGGACCAGATTCACAATACGAAGGCGTTAGGGAGGAAAAGGATGAAATTTTAAAAACAAACCATCATCATTGTTATAGTGACACAAACACTATGGATTCGGGGTGGCAGAGCGGGTCAGAGAAACAGGTGACAGATTGAATTGTCTATGTCCATGTGTTCTATATATCTAAGTAACTGTGAATATGCTGTAATTGATGAAACTCATGTCGATGTGTAGAGAACTGTAGTGGTTGATATAAATATGCTATGTAGTATTATTTCGTACGATGTTATTTCTTATTTTATTTCATATTTTGGCCTAAATTTTTTGTCGGGCGTTTCGTAATAAAATAATGCTCTCTTATTTAGTAATAAATTGTTAGAACTAGCAAATTTTTCAATTGGTGATTTAAAAAAATACTCGAAACTAATTTTTTAAGACATAAAAAAGTTATAACGCTTGTGAATACGAGTATTATGAATTTTCGTATACTTTGATATTGTAATACATGTAATTGCTATTTAAAAATAATTCTATTTGTTAATTGTATAGGAAAAATTGTGTTTTTATATTATTCCTGGTCTAAAATATTTAGGTTACACAAATATTATAATAATATTTTATCCAATTTTTTTATCTTATATTGGTATCATTATTCACACAAAAGTTGATAATATGATATATTTCAAACTGTCATAGAAACGAAATGTTATTAGATATTTAGAAAAAAAAATGACAAAAAATCTTTAATTAAATAATAAAATGAAATTTCCTAAATAATTATGAGCTTTGCATTAGAATTAGAAGACAGAAACCCTTCCATTTGTATTGGAGAATGTGTACTGTGTCGTGCCAATTAGATAAAATTAGATGTTTTTGTAAAGAATGACCAACATTAAAAATCACGAATTCATGAGTCATATATGGGAAAAAATAATATAATCATATAAATATTTGGTGAAACAGAAAGCTGATGAAGATGATTTTCAATTATTATATAGTTTTTACTAGAAAAGATCCATTTTTTTCGCAGTGATGAATATATATCACTATTTTGATTAATAAGAATTAAAAGTTTAATTTACGCTCTTTTAGAACATTCTAGCTATTTGTTATAGAAAAAAAAACATTTTTGTAATTTCAATAATTACTTTGCATTTCTAGCTATTGTATTATTATGTTCTCTTCATTTGACCTTTTGTCTAAATAGATATTAACATAAAAAAGTATAATCTTTTCTTATTAATTATTTATTATTTATACGACAAAAATACATAAAAGCGTAAATACGATTGAAATTAAAAAATCTCTATCCATTTGTGTAACCTAGTCTTTTCTCTTCCATTTGAAGCAATATATTTTGTAAATATTGAATTGTATTAGTTTTATAAGATAAACTTCCTATTAGGGTCTGTAGCAATTATATAATGGGTAATACGTAGTCCTACAGTGTGTGATTATCAATTTTCAAGAATAATTTAAATAAAAATAATTAGTAAAGTCTACAAATTATATTACATTTGTAGCCCAAAAAAGCTAAAGAAGCAATGTTATTGGAGAGATTTTTCTTTGCAAAACCCGAATTGGTGGAATTTGGGCATCTGAAGTTAAATCAGGAAAGTGACAAAAACATTGCATATATGTATAGGTACTTATAATATTATTAAATGTTTCTTGTGATGCTATGGGATTGTTTAGTGTCATGATATTATTCTATAAATGTTAATAATTAAGTTATATACATTAATTTCTTTTTGTGAAATAAAATCAGTTATAAATGTTCATTGGATGCTTACGTTCTGGTACATTTTACTGCTAAGGAATTAAATTAATAATGGTTTCAAAGATATGACGGCTTAACCTTTACTATCTGATATCCTAGTACATGTATGAAGAGATCCGGTGTGAAGTGTAAGGTATCTGATATATATTTATAGTTTTGGGCACAGTAATGTTACCTCTATCTTATATCTGATCTCCTGGTATACGGTGTTTATGTATATCTGTCTTGTAATACGTGTGGGTTGTTAAAACAAGATCTTTGCGGTATATATGACTATAGTTGTTACCTCCACTTTATACCTGATCTCCTGGTACACAAACTACTTTGAGATAAGCATTGTTAGCAGGGTCCCCTATATACGTCATACGAATTTCGTAATGTGTGATCTCTCACAAATGTGACAGAGACTAAAAAGAAAAGAAAAGAGGCCTTTGTCACATTTGTGAGCGGAGGTGTGCGATATTGTGACGTCACATATTTTGAAATTTGTACTGTATTTGTTGAATTATTTTTTATAAATTTTGAAATGTGATATAAATAAGGACCTTTTGTCACACAAGGTCACACTTTCTCGAATCCTACCATTGAAATATGATACTCAATCGATAACATATTTTTTTTACACTATGGTATCAATTAAGCGTACGGTGTATGTTTCATTGAACATGAAATATAGAAACAGTACGTAGCTAGTACACAATTGAAAAGCACTCCTCTCATCTGCGAAGGAGCCAATTATTGGACGCAGACACTAGCCTCATCTGTGAAAGGTTTTGTAATTGTTCTCACAGATGCGTCATTAATGTCATTTTGACAGCTAACAGTTGAAAGATTAAATTATATTTCAGCACAAAAGGCGCGATCTAATTAATTCACAGAGTAGACCAAACATAATGTTCTAAAGAGAGTAGACTCTTCTTTCTGTGACGATTGGTCCGTTTGGGGTCATATCCTTTGTCATTAATCAAATGGAAAATAAAAAAAATATAATTGCAAATAGACATATTGTATTTTAATTTCTGTATGTTATCTATTAACTTCTTGTTTATTAAAATTGTATATAAATTATTAGATTGATCAGGGTCTAGACCATAAGCTCTTATAGTCGAATCAAACATCCATAAATGCAATTTGCAACAAAATGGAATCGCTACCGTATGTAAAAGCAATAGAGTTGAGATTTGATCAATTTTGCTTACTACAAGAGTTTATAGTATACCCTTTCTTGCAGTTATTAATATGGTTCTATTAAAAGACTGAAATGTGATTGGTTTGTTATTTTCTGCACCTATATGATTATAGGTGTGCCTTACCTACCTCTACGGTCACTGGTTTGATTCCGGTACAATACAAAAAATTGTGTTCATAATTAATTAGTCCTATGATATTAATATGAGCTGACGATTTTTTTCTACTTCATTTTAATTAACGGAAGTACATATAATCAATGTTATAAATGCGATTGTTTTATTACCCTTCTTAAATGAGGACGTAGGTTATCTATACATATAAATAAAATAGGAGTGTCTGAATTTTTGTCTGTCTGTCTGTTTTTTCCGGCTAATTTCTGAAATGGCTGGACCGATTTTGACAAGACTTTTTTTTGATAGGTAGCTGATGTAGTAAGGAGTAACTTAAGCTACTTTTATTTTAGAAAAATAAAGTTAAATTCCATGCGAATGAAGTCGCGTGTAAAGCTAGTTAGTAAATAAAAATGTCACGACTGTTGCTCAGAAGTCCAAAAACCGACCTCACAGTTAATGTAACACTTGACATGTTTATATTTTGTTGGCTGTTTTAGAATCCTACAGACTGTATTAATCTAAGAGCTAACATATTGATACAATACCGAAAAAACATAATTTCACTGGAGAGTCAGTCAGAAATATGAATTATTACAATTACGTTTATAAAGTCGGTAAGATTTGAAGTTACGATCTTTTACTTAAGACGGGGTGGTAACTCCTTTACCTACACAGATACAAGATCTATTATAGACAAATTTAAAGTCAGTAATGTAGTAAAACAACGTAATTATTAGTTTGGTATATTTTTTATTAGATAAGTTGTATACATATGTATATTTAAGATGGTAAATTAACTAATTTTGAAATCAATTATTTTATTAAAAATTCTTCTAAATAGATATTATTCCGCAATCAGCAAACAGTAATAATTAAATTATTTTTATTAAGTACAAAGTAGTTTGTTTACTTGGCATAAGCACATTATTAAAATTCAGACCAGAATCCTCTTAATTATTTTACGTAGGTATGTCACTTACTTTGGAGTTATAAAGAATACTTTGTTGAAATTATAAGTACAGTTGAGAATAAGTAACATATAAAGTTTATAGCATACGGCTGGCCGCATAATGTTAGCCTTATTCCAAGTGAATATAATTAACAATATGCAACTTTTTTTTTAATTTACACAAATACATAATATCAAACTTATATAAAAAGTTATTTGATTTAATAGAAAGTAAAACTCAATACCTAAGTTAGGCAACCACATAGGTAACATTTTAGTATATATATTAAGTACTGAGTTAAATATGAATCTATACAAATATATGATAAATATAACTCAATACATATATTTTAGATCTAGTTCAATCTCGTCTCTAGGAATAAATTTCAATTTATTACGAAAACATATTTTAAATAATATCCTAATGTGCTTTAACAAATCAATGTTTTTTTTTAAATTTACCACAGACATTTTTCAGTCTTACTACGTAATACTGTGAATGATTGCAATGAAAAAAAACTGATAAGTACTCTGTATATAATTTTAGTTAGCTATGTAAAAAATGGCGCCAATAATTAAAAGTATGTTTATGAAACAAGAAAAATTAAGTACACTGGCTACTATATGCATTATTATGATAAGACTAGTGATTTCAAAACACGTAGGCATATTCTATAGTTTCCTGACTTATATCGGAAAAATAGTTTGGACAGAGATATTTTTATTTATTGGATTTTGGCGCGAAACCAACTGCCAAACTTTGTAGGTAGATTATATTTTATGCAAATATATATAATCTCTGGTTTAGATATTTTATTAGTTTTTATAAAAAAGACGTAATAATGTGATCAAGAAATCTTTCATATACAGACCTTATAACTCTTAAAATCCGTAGTTATAACATTCCGTCAATAAAATCTATAAAAAAGAATATGCAGAAGATAAGACTGTATGGTGTTGTACCTTTGACTTTTCACTTCTGACCAAAAAATATAGTAACTACTGATGTTTTTTTTTTCGTTTGCAAGAGGCTAGTGTTGCCTATTATGCCACTAAAAACAGGAAACGAGACGGGATAATGGAAAGGTACGGGTTAAATTTTGAATATACTCGGAATTAGTGATCATGGATTTTAATGTTTAATGTTATTATGGGAAATAAAAGACGCAAGAGATTTATAAATTATAGGATTAGGATGAGCTAATAGGCATACAATGGATGAAGGAAAAGGAATTTCTAATGAGATTAGTGTCTCTATAAATGAAGAACGATCGTAAGAGGAGCAGGAAAACACAATATGATTTAGATCACCCACATCTTCTCCACATTCACAGATATTATTTACTTTTATACGTAGTTTTGTTAAATGTTCAGGGCTGCAAACATGACCAATTCGCATACGAATCAAAACACTAGTTGATCTTTTATCAAGATGTAATTTGAAAAACCACGGTTTAAGAGGTATAAACGTACTGATGTTTTTTGAGGGCGGGAGTCAATGGAGGGACTATTTAATATGTTTGTTATTATTATGGCAAAAAGTCAACTTTCTTCTGGTGTGTTAATATCTATGTCGTAAAACATGTATATAACACAGAATGTAGGTAAATAAGTAGATATATAAAAAAATATTAGTCAGGTTCACAGTAGGTAGGTAGTTAACTTCTAAAACTAATATTAGTCACTTAAATTAAGGTTATTTTAATAAAATCACTTTTCCTTATGAACTAATAATAAGAAAATGGTCGGTAATTGTGATAAAGAGACTATAGATAATTTTATCTATCTCGGTATTAAAAAAAAAGAAAGGGATTCACCTAATCTATGAAATAATTAAAATGTTTTTATTTCCGTATTATTTCATTGTAAATTGCTTGTCGGGTTTTAACACAATTAACTTAATTATAAATATAGTATTTATGATTTATAATTAGTTTAATTTATCATAAAAAAATATTATGTCAAAATTCAACAAATTAGAATTTAAATTATTTTGTATTAATTGAAATAGGAAAATGTCGTATTTACTTACAAATTTTAGGTTTCTATTATATAATTAAAGGTACCTAAGGGTTTATTTTTTACTGTCTCTGTTTTTTTTTATGTGAATCCCATTCTATCGTCACCCAATCCCAATTTGAAAAATCGGTCATCCCACTCGAAAAGGAGTGAAATTTCCAAGTTTCGTTGTACATTCAACTCGGAATAAATAACACCATTAACTAGGTGGACTCTTAGCTCGTAGCTACATTATATTAGTAGAGAGTAAACTGAAATGTACTCCACATTTCAGTTTAAGAAAATTTTGAGATAAAAAAATAATTGTATCTGCAAGATAATTGAGTGAGCGTTAAATAAAAAAATCACTCTGGACAATTAAGCCACTGGACAGCGCCATCTAGTAAGCAGAGGTTGAGTTATGGGTATTAGACAATTGATAATAATACTTACATACATTTTTTTGGAAATATATACATAGCAAACAAGCAGATGGATACAAACAATCATACTCATGAATACAAATGTTTGCACCGTGCGAGGAAACGAGCACGACCATCGGAAGTAAAGAGGCGTGCTAAACCACTAGACGAGGTTAGGACTCTATTTATGTATATTCCAAGTTGACTGTACAATACAAAGTTACGAGATCGTTTCATTAGAAAGAATAATTGTCAATTATTTAAAAAATATCAATAGTACACTCAACGATAATAACATACAACATGCGTTGTACATGCTAGCATTCGAAAGTGCAGGGGATGATGGCTTGTCGGGTAATAGCAGCTTCTTCTCCTGTGACCACTCGGAGATGCTAGCAGGTGTTCCATCCTGATCTCCAAGCAGCTGGTTTGCGATTTTGAGGTTCTTCAGGTGGGTGAGGAAGTCTTCTGCAATCAAATGGTATTTAATGTTAGTTTTGTTTTTATTCTGTGTTAGTGGCGGGGTGATATGTGTCAGGGATTTAGAAGCTACCCTTTCTGTGCCCAGAAACTTGCGTAATAAAATAAGGACAGTTATTATAATTCACACATACAAATGTTTGTACCATGCGACGAATCGAACCCGCGACCAACGGAAGTAAGGCGTTGTACTAAACCACTAGACCGCCGAGGCCATCAATAAAATAAATCTTCACATACGTTCAGGAGTTTGCAAGCTCGTTTGCACCCTATGCCATATAAAATAAAGATACAATTTGCATAACTGACCAGCTTCCTCCTCTCCGCCGTTGGAGTCCACCTTGATGAAGGTGGTGAGAGACACCTCGTACACTTTATTGGGGATGCCATCAGACGAGATAGAGCGACGTCTCCTGCCATAACCAGTGGCACCATTCGTACATTGTACCTGAAATGTGTAAAACATTAACATAAAGCAAAAACTTTGTACCCCTTTTTACTAAAATTGCATAAACTATGAAATTTTGCAGTGCGAAGGTTCATATATAGAAGGAGCGCAGAATGCCCCGTCGATCGATCCCCCGTCCAATTCAAACGGGGATCGAAATTACAACGGCCTCAGCCGAGGTTTGAACTCCCAGCGGTGCCCTCAGACTAAAGTCGTATCCGTCAGGCGGGAGTTGGCCTTCAGCCGCTCCATAAGTTCTTCCGCGGGTTTGGAGTGCTATCTGCACTCGTCCCTTATCGTTCGGTGTAGCTGTAGGCTCAAGGCCAGTTGCGGCCAACAGTATTAGAGTAGTCCGAAAAAAAGCTAATGTATATATTTTTAAAATACATTAAAATACTAAAAAGGTCATTGCAAACACTACCATGTATTTGACATACACGCATAGAAATATATAGTCTTTGATAATAGAACCTTAACTTAAATAATTTATGGTCGAATTTCGACCACTGGGTGACCACTATTAAAAAGGAAATCAACAAAACGTCTGTCGGGTCAGCTAGTTAACAACATATTAAAACATTTTCAACCCCTTACGGGTTGTAAGGGGTTGAAAATGATTTTATATGTCAAAAACTATTTTTTTCGGATTCAAAAGTAGCCTACATCCTTTCTCAGGGTCTAAACTATCTGTCACCAAATTTCTTTTAAATCGGTTCTGTGGTTTTGGCCTAATGGCGGGACAGACCGACTGAGTTACTCGGATTTATAATACTAGTAAGAATATTTAGACTTATAATTGACAATGTTAGCCGAATCTAAGTGATGACCAAATATAAAAATTTTTAAAGCCAACATATACCATTGTACCACATTCAAAGCATAAATAAATAAATAGAGCGCTAAAAACTTTATTGAGGACATGAAACTCACTCCTTGGCATTTGTCCAGACACACGCTGACGGTTCCTTTGAACTGCACGTATGTGGTATCCGGGAATTTGAACGCCCTGAACTTGGCTGCGAGCAGGTCACCATCAGACGTCACGAAGTTATCGAAGAGGTACGGATCCACCGAACAGCTGCAGGTAGTAGTGTTTTTTAATCGGTTACAATTTGAATATTCAACAATTTAAATTTAAACTTTTTAAAAAAATTATTACATTACTGCCAACATAAAAAAAGAGATAAAGAAAGACAGTAAGAAAGAAAGAAGTAAGAAAAAAAATGTTCACTACATACTACAGTAATCCTCCCATAATAAGGTACTTTACCCCCTTATAACGCATTTTCAGCTAACATGTATTTCGATTTCCCTATATAACGTTGGGATTTCACACATTATATTTCTGTACTGTGTAATTTATAACGATTTGTTTCTAATTAGTTTTTTTTTAGTTCATATCCATAAGTTTTTTATTTAGAATGTAGTACTGATTTTAATAAAACTTATATATTTCGTTCTTAATATAGTTTATTCTTATAATTCCCATTTAGCCAGGAAGATTAAACGAGAATAATTTATACGTAACGCGTTATACAAGGTCGTAAAAAGGCGTTATAAGGAAATACTCCTACAACGCGGATCCAATCTGCCGTGTCATAGGGGAAATTACTGTACTAATATTACTAGATACACACCCATTCAATATAATAGTTTCTTGCTGCTTTCCGGTGTCTGTAACATGCATATAGCTGACTAGTAACCCGTACACCGGCGCTGACTTCTCATCGAGGAAGATTTCCATCGACAGTGGAGTTCCTGGACTCACCGAGATCTCGCCAGAAACTCTGAAAATTTTAAAGATCAATTCTCAGTTATTAAATATATTCAAGTTAAATTAAGGAATCCTTTATTTCAATAAACTTAAATTTAGGAACTTTTGATTAGTCATAGTTATTTTATTTAATCTGCTACCTCTAGTCTCATCATCAATACGTCTTTAACATAAGGGCACACGGGGCCTGTGCTCAGGGCCTCCATTCTCAGGGGGCCTGCGAAGAACTGACAATTTTTCTCACACATTTATTCTCAAAAGATTTTTGTCGGGCACTACACTTTTTTCACAAATCAGTAATGTTATCACAAGGCATATACTACGCCATTATACCGATTACTTCGCCTATTCCTATGTTATTATACCTAATGAGATTTTTTTTCGATGTTCTTATACCTAATGAGCTTTCCAAAAGAGCCCCGAATTGTTGTGTGCCCAAGGGCCCCAGCCTAGTTCAAGAAGGCGGTGCTCATCACAAGAAGAATGAGCAAGAAACTTGTGTGCTAACACAGCTTCTTTGTCAATCAATTTACTTAAAAAAACAATTCAAATGATGACAATCACGACGAAGACGAATGTAGAACTTACTGTTTGCCATTCTCCTTCACAATAGCACCAAGAACTGGCTCGGGAGCGTGACCTTCTTCGTATCTTGTGATGTTTAGTACACTGCAACAAGAAATAGAACTCTGTAGCTTTATATTTTTAGACCCTCTGGTCTAAATTATAAGTTTGTCACGATGTGTATAAACGAATATCTGTAGCTCTTGTATTGTCCATTATATAATTTATTTATATTTGCACTGCCAACAATTATACTCTGCACCACCCATGGTTGACTGGTATATAATGCTGCATGGTGTTAACTCCGCCAATGTACTTTGAAATAATGTGCATTAAAGTTATTTAAATAAATAAATATTGCTAGAAATTTATATATTATAGATAAATGGTTAATTGGTAGAAAATGCCATTAGGTGTTAAGTCCGCCATATGTACTCTTTACTTATGTAAGACGTGCATTAAAGTTATTTAAATGAATAAATAAATTACAAAGCGTAAAATAATGGGCCAAATATAAATTCCCTTTCGACATACTGTATTAATTTCAGTTAAATTTAAACTTATTTAAATCATAGGAATACTGTAAAAAGTCATCAGCGTACATCAGTTTCGCCTATTTAGGCCGCCAAGCAGCATGTTTTGTAAGATGTATTTTGGGTTGTAGGGTACGATTAGACAGAGAAATTGCAGGTTAAGAGGTATATAATAATATAAGTATAACAGGATAATAAGATACATCTTAGTCCTCTAGAATGTCAAAATGCCGAAGGGTGTGGTCTATTGGCGCTACCGTGACAGATTACTGTCATCAGTGCCGTGACCACACAGACAATTTATATTTATAGTTTTATTACATATATATATATGTCTATAAGATAGCGGACCCCGCAAATGTTGTTTTGCAATATAAATTAAAATCGCTATTAAAAAATAGGGGTTGATGGTAGGGAGGTGAAGATTTGGTTGTATGTGTTTTTTAATGCCTTAAAACATTAGAAAAAAAATGTCCAAAAACAAATGTTAGGGATGGACGATCCTTATCAGGAGTTTGAAAAATAGATAGTAGCTGATTGTCATATCTAGTGAATATGCAAATAAAATATCATAAAAATCGGTCAAACCGTTTCGGAGTATGGTAACTAACATTGTGACACGAGAATTTTATATATAAGATTTATAATATGGGCCATTAGTGGCCTGAAATAAATAAAGAAAATACTTACTCTGGTTCATTAAAGTCCAGGGGAAACCCTTCAGCAGCTCTCCTGGAGATGGCGCGCAGTTTGCTGGCCACCACACACCTGACTGTTACCGTCTCTCGACCACCGATGGCGTCTTCTATCACGATTTTGTGGTAGAATGTGCGTTTGCCCTGCGAAATAAGAGGTCTTTTTTGAGATTTTATATGTAATTTGCTGTGCTTTTAATAATAATAATAATCTATTAAAAAAACCATAATACTAAATACGTGTCGCATAATTTTCATAACATAAGAAAATTCTTGACTTCCTCAATAATATCTTCACATAGCGCAACCTCACCCACACTTGGCTGAGGCCCGTGTGGGTGAGTATTACTTTCTTTTAAATTTATAAAAGAAGAGAAAGAATAGATAAAAGTAATAATAATAATAATATTGATGATGATAATAATATTACGCGTAGATAAACATTTGCAAGATGTTTTTTTTTGCTGGTAAAGGAGCACGTTTGACAGACTCGGGAGTCTAGCGGTTTAGTACACCACCATACTTCCGATGGTCGCGGTTTCGATTCGTCGCTGGGTGCAAACATTTGTATTTATGAGTATAATTGTATGTGTGTTTTCTATGTATATTTTATATCAGTTGTCTAGTACCTACTCATAATATGAGCTCTGCTTAGCTTAGGACAAGATGGCTCTGTGTGAATTGTCTAGAGACAACATTATTCTAAACGATTCGGTACTCACTGTGATCTTATTGAGAACTCTGGTGACTCCACATTTGTGTGGATCCTGAAGGTCTAACATGAATGTCGCCTTCCCGTCATCCAACGCCGGCTTGCATGGCTGGTAATCTGCAAATAAAAACAGATAAATTTATAACAAGACTTGTACAAAATCGTGTAAATAGGTACTTTTATAACGGGGAAAAGTTAGAAAGAAGAAAAAGTTAGAAATTGTTAGTAATGTGGACTAATAACCTCATAGCTAGCAATGCATAGTCAGGTTCCACCTCCACGATGTTCCCCCTAGAAACTATCCTGATAAATTCCAGGTGTATTTGTCACGATGGGTTAACTGACCTGACCTTATACTCATCCTATCATCCTCCTGGTGCCCCGCCAGCGTATACTGCTCATGCAGGTGCACCATTCCATTATATTCAATTAAAAAAAAAAAACCTCTGTAACGACTATTTCTGCCATCAAGATTGCTGCTTTATTACCTGTGTTTCAGCTTGACAAATGAGGTGTGGCAGTGATTTGTTTAAATAAACTAAATTTATACATTTATTTGCTGATAAACCTATATGCTGTTTAGTGTTTTTGACCCATATATGTATCATCATCTGCTTCTTTCTTATCCCATTTATTTGGGGTCGGCGTAATTTTTCGCTTCCATTCATCCCAGTTCGCAGTCATCGCATTATTTACTTCCTTTCTTACCATATCATCTTTCACACAGCCACCATCCATCTACCATCCATCTCTTTTTCGGCCTTCCTCTGCCCTTATAACCATCAACATTCATTTGTAACACCTTTCTTAAAATATTATCCTCGTTCCTACGCATTACATGTTCATACCATGATAGACGATTACTCTTCAACTTCTCTGACACCGGTGCCACTTTCATACTTCCCCTAATGTATTCCCATATATGTATATGTATATATAGTCTTTGGTATAATCTATGTCTAATATAATCATATAGTATAAATATAGTTTATGATGTTTTATAACGTACTCTGTGCAGTTGAGTGAGTCTGTATTGCAAAATGGCGGGAGCAGTTAAATTAAATTTGAAACGCAAATTAGCTTTTTATTTAAATATAGTACAATATAGGCTATTAATCATAGTCACCATTTTCCATTTGGTGGTCTGTCAGTTTGTTTGTCATTCCAATTATATAAAAAGATTGTTTAATGTAAAGGTACATTTACATTACACAATTAAGAATATAGAATTTATAAAAGCGCATCTGAATAAACACGATTATTTATTGTTTCATTGAAAGCAATAATTTCAAGGCAACTTAACATAGTGGATTTTATTATACAAATGATAGTATATCAATGTAAATATTGAAAGTAGAAATATAACATATAGATGATCCTTCCAGACGGCGAGCACAATAGACCTATATAGGTCGCAGTGGTCTAGAACACGTGACAATAGCGTAAACCCTAAAAAAATATCCTTCATGATCCTTCGAGACAGCGAGCACAATCTAAATATATATAACTCAAAGGTGACTGACGTAGTGATCTATCAACGCACAGCCCAAACCACTGGACGGATCTGGCTGAAATTTGGCGTGCAGGTAGATATTATGATGTAGGCATCCGCTAAGAAAGGATTTTGATTAATTCTACCCCCAAAGGGATGCAATAGGGGATGAAAGTTTGTATGAAACTTTGTCAATTTTAACCTGATCGGGCTGAGACTTTGCATGCATAAAGCTACTATGGCATAGGCATCCCCTAAAAAAGGATTTTGATAAATTCCACGCCTAAGGGGATAAATTAACGCAAGCGATGCCGCGGGCAAAAGCTAGTAGATCTATATAAACACATAGTATATAACAAGCAGATGACAATAGTCCAGACCCATCAATAAACAAGAAATATACAATTCTTCACGACTGTTTCATTTGCTATACGTTGCCATTCCGAAGGATGTTGCCATTCCAGAGCACTAAGGTGTTATGTCTTCATACCATGAGTTCCATCATTACCTTATGTGGCCTTCTGAAACAGCTTACAAAGCAAGCTGCTTGGTTGCTGCTCGTTCAGCAATCAAGCAGCTTGTTTTATAAGCTAGATAGAGGTAACCACGCAGATTACTCAATTCAAATCGAAATATAATATTCATGTAGATATATTACAGACACAAAAGAATGCTTTCGAGCTTGGAAGAACTGATTACTAAAATTAAGTTAATTATCAATATATAAGTAGGCAATAAACAACATAATATACCTATAGTACATCATTACATAGTATAAAACAAAGTCGCTGTCCTTGTCTATCCCTATGTATGCTTAAATCTTTAAAACTACGCAACGGATTTTGAAGCGGTTTTTTTAATAGATAGAGTGATTCTAGAGGAAGATATATATAGTACATGTACACCCGTGCGAAGCCGGGGCGAGTAGCCCATTCTACCACAAAATCGTGATAGAAGACGCCATCGGTGGTCGAGAGACGGTAACAGTCAGGTGCGTGGTGGCCAGCAAACTGCGTACCATCTCCAGGCGAGCTGCTGAAGGGTTTCCCCTAGACTTCAATGAACCAGGCGCGTAGCTAGTAGTTATATAAATATATATGATCAGAGCGATGGTTGACTGGTAGAGAATACCATCAGTCCATCTGCCATATAAACAATTTTGAGCGCAAAATAATAAATAAATAATAATAATAATAATCTACGCCGGTTTTCTCCCTGGGGCCCTGAACCCCGGTCGGCTGTGCTTCTGCCGGGGGTAAGTTGCCATCTCCTCTCCTTAAGAGGGAAGAATAGATTTTTTTTTAAGTTTAAGAGATAATAATAATAATCTCAAGACAATTCACACAGCGCCATCAAGAGCCAAGTTAAGCTAGCTAAAGCTTGTGTTATGGGTACTATATAGCTGATACACATACATAGTTTTTTTTTGTAAATACATAGAAAATACCCAGACTGATACAAACAATCATACTCATAAATACAAATGTTTGTGCCGTGCGAGGAATCGAATCCGCGACCTCGGTCGTAAAGCGGTGTGCTAGACCGCTAGACCACCGAGGTCGTCAATTATGTACCTGTTATGCTGTATTTATTCCATATACTTAAAGGAAATCATCTGGTATTAAGATTAGTTAATAATCATCAACAAGAAATCTCTCCCTCGTTTGTAAATGTTGGAAATGTTGGTAGATGTTGGTAGACATGGGACTCTCATGATTTTAAGCAGTAAATCAATTCAGACGTGATGTAATGTATAGCCAACATTCAGGGTTGCCGACCGTACGAGGTTTTTCTTACAGGTACGAGATTTTTAGTATGAGGTACGAAAAAAATCTGTAGATTCTGCCAAACTGAAGAGGAAACGCCACTACACATTCTATGTGGTTTTAGCCCACTCATGCATAAACGAAATAGCTCCTTTGGAAAGTTTACACTCTATCCTGAGGAGATAAAAACCATCGCTCCTAAGAATATCCTTCAATTCTTGTCCCTGACGGGTCTAGGTAGCGAACTTTGAAAAAGGGCGAGCACAATAGATCTATGTAGGTCGCAGTGCTACATGTGCTATATACACCTGACAATAGCCCAAAGAACCCAAAAAAGAAAATAAAAAAATCTCGAGTGTAAAATACCTATTACTAGCTGTACACGCAACTTCGTCCGCGTGGAATTTTATTTTTCTAAAATAAAAGTAGCCTAAGCTACTCCTTATTACATCAGCTAACTACCAAAAAATTCCCGTCAAAATCGGTCCAGTCATTTCAGAGATTAGCCGGTACAAACAGACCGACAGACAAAAGTTGTAAAAAATGATATTTTTTGTATGTACCGTATTTATATTCATATGCATGTAGTAAAAAACGGTTATTTCAATATTACAAAGAGACACTTTAATTTTATTTATATGTTATATAATAATGTCCTTGTACAAATAATGCATTATTACTATTGCTAATGTTGGCAGCCCTGCCAAGGTTTGTGACCTATTGACGTGTCCATCTGTAAAGTAATACATTGTTGCAGCCCTACGATTGGGATTAGTTGAGAGGCTCAAGCGGAATAATGTGAAAACATTCCTTACTATACATATATATATATATATATGTGTATATATATGTATAGTTAGGATTGTGTTTGATTTTGATGTTTAGTGGTGCAGAGCACTCATGGTTGCCTGGTAGATAACGCCGCAAGGTATTAAGTCCGCCATATGTACACATTGTTTTTGTGCATTAAAGTTAAATAAATAAATAAAAATAAATATATATCATATTTTACTAATATTATAAACGCGAAAGTTTGTGAGTATGGATAGATGTTTGTTACTCTTTCACGTAAAAACTACTGAATAGATTTTGACGAAACTCTACAGTAATAATGCTTATACATCAGAATAACGCATAGATTATAATTTAATGAGATATTATATGAATTGGAAGAGATATAGTAATACATATCAAGTAAGTGGTGCAGACGAAGTTGCGTGACCCAGCTAGTAATATTACAAATGAGAAAGTGCTATCACATCAAAACTACTGAACCGATTTAAATGAAATTTAGTACACATATAGTCTAGACTCTGAAAAAGGACATAGACAACTATATACTTTTTAATGCGAAAAAAGGGTTGTAAGGGGTTGAGAGGAGAGATAAAAGGTTGTATGAAAGAATCGTCATTTTTAAAGCTAGCAGCTTGTTTTTAGGATTTTGATTAAAAATAAATAAATATGACATTCAAAGTTTGTAGAAATGCTACGCTTAAGGGGGTAAAATAAAATAGGGGATGAAAGTTTGTGTAGAAATCCGTCATTATTGAACCCAGAACGATGAAACTTTTTTTACTTGGCTTTTTTGAGTAAGATTAATAAATATTTACTATCCAAGGCCACTATTCTACGCAGACGGAATCGCGGGCACAGCTAGTAAAAAAATAAATGGTAACAATTGCTTCTCTAGTAACATGCAAACTATTATAGCTTCGCCCGCGGCTTCGTCCGCACAATGAGATAGCCAATATATCGTTGCAGTGATTTCAAAGGTGACGGGCCTGTTTGGTGTTCAGGAAATTGGAATCATCATTTTATTTATACAGAACTTAGTATTGGAGATTAACGGCCTTATTACA